AAATAACACCTGCCAATCCGTATAGGAGGTACAGTTAGCATACCGGAATGCCTCAATGGTAACCCTCTATCCGGCTGTGGCTTAGTACCGGTCAGAAGACAAGTAGATCAGCAACAAGAGTATGGTACTTGTGTCTGACAAAATGGGGCATAATTCTTCCACGGTCTTTGCTTTCCTGAAAGAGCTCATGCCACAATTAAAAACCATCCTGCCCAACATCAAGCATGTCAACTTCTACACTGATAGCCCAATTTCACATTATAGGAACAAAACCATTTTCTACCTGCTAAGTCACGACAAAAATCTGTTCGATGTCAGTGTATCCTAGAATAACTTTAAAGCGGCCATAGCAAAAGGTTATTGTGAGGGGGTTGGAGGTTCCGTAAAGCACATGGCTGATGAAGCTGTCAGGCAGCAAAAGCTCACAATTCAAGATACAGTTGACTTCCTTTCTTGGACGCAGCACCATCAGTCAGCAAGCTCGGTCTCCTTTACCTTGTGTCAAAGGGAGCCTGCCTCAAAGCGCAATCGTGAATTGATCGCTTTAGGGAAATCACAACTGTTACAGGGACAATGATCGTCCATGCAGTGGCAGCCTTCCCCGATTAAGATCATCGCAAGAAGCACCTCATGCCCCTGCGAGCAGTGTGTCACAGATGGGAAATACAACTAAGAGTCTCCATGCAGTTGGAGAGTGCACCTCCTAAAGGAGTGTACTGATACAGCAGTAACACCTGTTGCCAGAGACTGGGTTGAGAGGAAGTGGTATTTGGGCAAAGTTCTGGAGCACTTATAAACTTCATGGAGTCACTGAGGAAATAAGCTGGACTCTTGAAGTGGCCAACTCCAGAAGATGAGGTTTGGATAGATCTGGAGTCTATCCTGGCAATAACAGAGCCCCCTGTCCCCTCCAGTCAAACAAAAAGGTAATTCAAGGTGCACGATGACACTGTTGCCATGATCGAGGGACTTTTACTCACCGTCGTGCCAAAAAAAGAGGCTAACTAAAATAGAATTCGACCCCTCAGTCAGTAACTTCCGTTACAATTTCTTTTATCTGGTTAATAGAGATTTTAAGTGTTAGTTGAACATTTTAGTATGATTTTCTGCATGTTTCGTCATTCGCTTTTGTAATCGCTCTAACTAAGGACTGAAATTTTCGGAACAGTGCGAAATTGAGAAAAACTGCGTGTTGACAAAAGCAACAAACATTCCATTTAGATATTATACAAATGAATGGAGCTGTAATTAAATGATAACTGGGCTTTTATAATTCAGTTAGCTTTAGTTTAACAGCATTGGTATATAACCACGTGTAGAACAAAGCTACGTAAACTAAGTATTGAAAACAGCCCTAAAATGGTTTGTTGGATTTTCCAGTTAATTCCAATAACCTTCCGTTACCTAAAACGTTACAGATAAAAAAGGGTTTTCATTAAAATTAATCAAATTCGAAGATGTAAAGTGTGATTGAAATGAATTACTACGAAGCAACAGATATTATCTGCACAAAAATACTACTTGCAAATTATCCGTAGAAAAATTTAAAGTTTGGATTTTTTGAACTAGTTTGGATTTGTTTGTTCCAATAAGCAATTTCAAAGTGTTCCTCAACTTTCCTTCAGCCGTCTTTGTAACACCACGCAAGTGACGCATGATTGATCAATTATTCTCAATATATAATCGTGTTTTCAGAAATTAAAAGGAGACAAAAATTCATAGACTAGAAACAAAGAGTCGTTTTTGCTTCTACAGTACCAATGCAAAGTAAGGAAATTCATAAAGGCGTTAGAACCGAACTGTTCACAGGTGAACTTTCCACATGCCCAAGTCAAGCTGACAAATATTTGCAAATTGATGGCGTCCTATGAGGGAGTTTTCATGGCAACCTTCCTTCTTTGCAACAATCATGGGCTTATGATATCGTTTAAGTTGCAATATACGCTTTTTTTCAAATGTAACATCAATAATGTTGAGTAAAATTTAAAATAATCTATATGATCGGGGTTCTTCGAAGTAGCATGTTATCCGAAGAACTTTCGCTGCAATGGAAATGCTTAAATTCAATGATTTTTTTCCTTCAGTAACGACGAACATTCACTTATACTTCCTAGCGAAATTATAGACAAATCAGAAAGCTCTTGGCGCGGTCAGGCGTGTTAATACCGACTGAAAATTGCAAACTTGCTCTCGGTCTAACTATAAAAGCGGAAGTGTAAGCTCGAAAAATGCTACTGAAAACATGGCATATGCTCAAAAGCTGTCATTTCGTTCAATTGAAATATAAAAACAAAAGAATTACCCCTCACTCATTCCTAACACCTAAAAGTAAAACTTAATGAGAATAAAAGGCTTACAGAAGTTCAGAACACATGATAGTTTCAGGATCAAATTCCTACAGTGCACGCAAGAAAAGAAGGCTTGATGTTGACGTTATTCAAGCTACAGAATTTCTCTCAAGTTGAACAGCAACGTCAAGAAAATTTTTAAGAAGCATAAGTCAATATGCTGGCATTATGCTCGATGCTCTGACTAAGGCATAGGTTGCAACATCATGCCAGCATAATTTATCTGACCGACATAATTTATCTGAATCGGGTCGGTCGCGGGTAAGAGTGTATTGTTACCCTCTGATGTCATAAATTTTGCAATGCCGCCCTCTCAGAGGCTGACTGGAAACAGATTCAAAATAGGATATCATGTGACCCAAAAATAAACAATAGCGGCATGCGCTGTTTGGGAAAAAATTCAAGCTATTAAATTATAAAGCATATTAAGGCATTTGCTAATATAGATTATTTAGGAAGTCTAACCTCGATCCGTATCAATCTCCAGTTCTTTTCGATGTGGTTCTTACGGTGTTTCTCGTGATTGCAGCGTCGACGCCCATAAAACTAAAGCTTCATTTTAAAAAAATTATTTTGTTGATATATTTTAGTTAGCACCTAGTTTCCTCAGAAAGTAAACATTTTTACAAATCTTATAATCACTTACATTTTATTACTCTATACCCGCTGTCCGTGTACCAACCCTCTCGCGTCTCTCTAAGATTGCAAATAGCCTGGGCTTGGAAAATGGAGGGCATTGAGCTGATAGCTTATCGAGGTGGGAATCCAAATGACGCTTTATTGGTAGTGATAGATTATTTATTGTTATCTGGGTCCAAGCTGAAAGTTTTAAGTACCTTATCTATTAATTTGAAGCCGACTTGGTCGTAGAAAAAGTGGCTTGAACCATTAATGATATCGATGAAACACCAATTATCACAAAAACTGCGGTGTTAGACAGCGACTGCTACAGACAGTACAGTAACTAGCCTAAATAAACGTACTAAACATAAAAGCTTGAGACGATCAAAGAGTGTTCTCTCCTTTTGATAAAATGTTTGATGCTTTGCATTGTTATAGTCGTAAGTCTTAGGCTTAACACTTTAACTCCCATAAGTGACCAAGACAGAATTTCTCCTTACAATATCAATACATTACCAAGCAGACAAGTGAGGAGAATAAAGAAAAATATAAATTAGTGACCCGGGATAATTAGTTGATCCAAACCCAAATTCTCCCAATTAACATCACAAGAATTGTATGGGGAGACAGTAAAGAGAATTACTTATGAGATCTTGAGAGTGAAAGGGTTCATTAAAAAAGGGAGCCCATGGGCTCCTGTTATACATCAACTAATTCGTAACTTTTTCTCATTGTGAAAATGTGCCTGTAGACCACGATAACTCCTTCAACGTAGTCATTTGTTTTTTATTTTTATTTTTGTCTTTCTGTTTGTTTGTTTATCTATTTTTGTGCCTTTGTTTTTTTTCCTATGGCGAAAACTCCCCTCTGTTGCAAGGTCCGATCATTACCATTTCAACACATTAATATCAAAAATGATTTATTAATTACTTTTTAATACTTGAATAAGGTAAATAAATAAAGTTAAAGCTCTTGAAAATGTAGGGAAGACTACACATTTTTTCCAAGCAGCAAAAAGTATTAATTTTTGGGCGAGGTCTTCATCGGATATCTTAGTTTTCGCAATTTACTTCGGCCGGAACTTTTCATTTACGCCATTAAAGATTTCAATTCTGCTTTTAGCGTACACTTTTGACAGACGCTGTGTTTTTAGATTGTTGATCGACTAGTCATTTCGAAGACTTTGGAGATTTTGAGAGAATCTGTATTTGGGCAATTGATTCACTTGAAAATTCCATAGGTATCAAGACATCCGTTGCAATTTATTTTGCAGAATATTTGGAGAAGGCTTCTGAAAGTGTTCCAAACACGTCGCCAACAAACGTCACACGACACCCAGCTCTATCTATCAACGCTGGCTTCAGTGATAGCTTACCAGTTGGTATGATGATTGTGGGAAGAAATTTTGACGAGGCGACAACTCTGAATGTCGCCTGTGCTCACGAGAAAATCAGGGAAACTACGAATTAAGTTCGTTTGAACCTTCCTAATATGCTGCTTTCCAGAATATTGGCTAAAAAACATAGCTCTTAGCCCTTTTAAGATGCGTTTCGTCTAGAATAGCGTAGTTGGTATGTTCCCAACATTTTGCTGGTCTGCGGTAAGCACTGGACGCGTCAAGTTTTAGGCTATTTTACATGCCACCTGTTGTCCAACCTTATGCTAATTGAAAAATGTAGCAATTGCGGGTTGAAACGTTTGCATGACTGAAAGCTTTACTATATCCTATTGCAGCTCAATAGTGTGATTGTCTACAGAGCGACGAGAGCTCTTTTTTTAAAGATGCTTTACATAAATGTTAAGGACACTGTCTCTGAAATGTATCGGCGTGTAGTTATGCATGTGCACTTAGTTATCGTCTGAGCGCTAACTTTAACTCACTGTGTGTCAATCGCTGTGGCATTTCTTTTAATTACAGAATAATGCAACAATAGGCCCGTGTACACAGACGCGCAAATAGGGCCTCCCTAGATAATTACGATTACATAAGAACGGTGGAAATAAAAAAAATCAGTTTCCTTTGTGTTGTTTCTAAGGACGAGGGGACGAACAACACAGATACGGTGAGTATTGCATCAGCTTGATATTTGATATTAGTGACGTCCTTTGAATGGCTTTCACTTGAATTCTTTAACATCTAAAGCAGCTTCGGTTTATTTGTTCACGCTGAATTGGAGAAATGTTCGCGAGCTTATCCTAACATTCTTGTAGACTGAATGGGCGTTTGCAGGATACTATGAGTAGTATTTCTTTCCATCAAATCCATAAAGCATCGAAGTTGCATTACATATCATGAATTTACTGGGAAAAGATGAAATAATCATTTCTTACACGCATACATGAATTCCGCGTCTCGTCTATTCTAGATTCCATGGTTGTGCTTAAGTTCTTCCGGGGGGGTCGGGTTATTGCTGCCGGGAGTTCGGAGCCGTAGTGTGTGTTTTAACCGTAAGGTCTGACGTGCGCAATATGTACAGAGATCTCAGAGGAGATATAATTTTTTTCTCCTAGAGATCGAAGCTTTTGTCTTGAGTTAATATAGCGTGGACTTATTCTAGACAGACTGAAGAGGATATACGCTTTCAAAGGCATTCAATCCTAAAATCTTCCGAACACCTCCCTACTAAAATTATTCATCCCCTACCCCCTCCCCCCCCCTTCACACGCACACACCTAAGAAAGGGCAGCAGTATTACAAGAACAACAGGAACAGAACGACGCAGATGCAAACGCATTTCCTGAAGATCCTTCTTCATTAACTTTGAGTAGATGTAACTTTGTAGCCGTAAATGAATATAAGACTAGAGCCATTATTTATAGTGATGAAGGAATTTGTTTTATTTAGCTCGTACTTTAAAAAAAAAAAAAGAAAAAAAAAATATTTACATTTCGTGCGCTTTTAAAGTGTATTTTAAATTATATTTACATGAGAAAACTAAGGAATTTCAAATACTAAACTGAGTGTCGGGTTAATTTATCGGTTATAGATTTCTTTCGATTGCAGGGTTCTTTAAAGAAGAAGAAATACAAAGAAATACATTGCAGAAAGGAATAGCTTGCTTCTCGTATGTCTTGCAGACCATGAGCTAGCATTTAATTTTATGCATATATGTGGAATGTTTATCGACTATAACAAGAGCCGTTGTGTAGGAGTAAAAGTTAATTGCTTCAGTTAAGACTTCATGATGCTGGACAAATCATACCGTAGATAAAACAAAAGAACCTAGCACACAATGCTTTCAAAACAACCGAGAGGCTTTTCCATCACCCTATCACAAAAACAATCGGCTAAGTTAAAGAAATAGGCCATTTTTTTTCTTTTCACTGGCGCAAGACATAGAAAAAAATTGTGGATTCACCACGACGATAATTTTCCTACATGCTAGTTACAAGTTTCATTTTATTCCTTTTTTTTTTTAATTTGTAGATGGGACTGGCCTTTGTTACGGTACTCTTCTTAATAGTTTGTTTCACCGAAGTGGATGTGGCTCGTAAGTTGAATACAGAATCTCATATGAAAAAAAAAGACAGTATATATATGATTTTCAGTATTGAAAGAGTCGTAGGTCAAAGGATAGGGCATATAAAAATTTTCAAGACATGTTGAGGTCTGTGGCCAAAATTTTAAAACGAAAAGCTTTCAAAGGATCTTGTTTCATTTTGTTTGTTCCATTTTCCCGTCACGTACAATTTATATTTACATCCCAACTCTTCCGTGTATTGGTTTATCCGTATCACTGCCCCCTACGCACGTCTTTTCATCGGACCCATAGAAACCCTACAATATTTTGAAATTGTTATTCTAGATAAAGCCACGGACTGCACTTTTGAAATCGCTATTATACTATGAAAACTCTCTTGGGATGTGGTGTGTAAACTTGAAAATGGTTTTAAAATCATTCGCCATCCTCGTGCGCTCCCAAAGGGACTGAATTGTGAATGAAAGCTCTGGCCTTTCTTCCCCATCCCCACCTCCTCCCTCCACATTATCATATTGTACAATGGAGCATGTCTACCGGTGGTTTATGATTAAAGAGCACGAATCATACAATAGTGAGGATTACTGTTGGAGATCGAATCAAGGTGAATTCCCAATTATCTCTTGGATCGGTCTGTGAATACTCGACAAATTTCTCCAGCAATCATTATAAAATGCAAAATGTCTTTTTTTTCTTGTCTTCCACAGATGGATACGATAAGGACCCGTGTTCTAATTACCGCACCCTGCGTGGCGCTGATCGTGCGGCGGGATTCAACAAGCTAACAAAGAAATCAGATAAACGCAAAGCATAGAAAGAGGATTGGTACCGATTCACTGGGGATGCAGGAAACAAAATGGCCATTATGTAAGTTCTTTCTTTTGTGATAAATCAGTATTGTGAATTTATCTTCAGTGACGCAGTGTAACTGACACTCAACCCCCCTCTCCCCCCTCCCCGAGGAAGAGAAACAAATTTGTGTTCACTACTAACTACCCAGGGTTCTAAAAAACGTTCAAATCGTCGTGAGGAATGATTTCTCGGGGGTGGTGGAGGGAACTCCATTCTCCTTTCATGTCGACAGATTACATCATTCTTGTCATCGTTGTCGACGAAGTCATCATTGTACGGTAGTCAGTTATTGCAGCAGGAATAGCGTTATAATTCTAAAACAAACCAATCAGGGGCAAGAAAAATCGAGAATGCGCAGTAATGCCATTTTGCTTGTAATTTTTTGGTTTGCATTATTATAAATGTCCTGATTAGCCATGTAGTCGGTCATGATATTTATTTTACATGTTATGTGCAAAAATAAGCATGAATTCTGAGCCTGTAATGTTTTTTACTTCTCTGCGCCGAGACATAAGCTGGCACTGAATTAATAAACCGTCTCAATCTTAGTGACCAAAATGGAGGTGGCTGCTTGAAGTCTCCTGCATGTGGGGCCATGTTTCCTGCCTATCTTCTCAAGCCACACCCTGTTAACTTGAAGCCTGGGGAAAGTGCCCAAGCCACGGTTTGCTATACAACTGGGAAGACTTGCTGCGCAAAGACTCAAGAAATAGCGATCAAGAAATGTTCAGGTTTCTTTATCTACAAACTTCCTCCTGCCTGCCTCAAACGAGGAAGATATTGTGGGGATAAAGGTAAGTCAAACTAGGTACGGATTGCAACAAGAGGACGCAAGTAAAAGCTTCTATTCTTTGACCATTTTCATAAAAGGTGTTGCTGAGCTATTTGCTAAGCTACTGGGACACAAGAAAATTGAAACTTTTCACTAAGTTAAAAAGGTACAGACTATCCTCATCTATCACCGAGGGGAGGGGGGTAATCTTCCACCGTATTCAGATTTGTTTTGAAGAAACACCGGCGAGGAGGGATTGTGGGGGGGGGGGAGAGGGGTTTAATGCTTGAGTCAATGTCTATGTGATTAAGGCTCGGCTTATATTCCTTTTGTTTTAAAACAGAAAAAAGGGAACCGGAGTGTGATGAGATGAAACTGTTGTATGGTATGTTTTTGCTTACGTGTTTGTTTGTCTTTGTTTTTCATTTTGAGTTGTTTGGTTCGTTCGCTTGGCATGAGATCAGTATTATTAGTGGGGAGTTCGGGTACTGTCCTTTCCATCAATTAGACTTTGAATTAATTCTAAGTAATAGACTGATAGAAAACTTATTCCGTGTTTACATCGCCTCATCTAAATAAGAAAGGGGGGGGGGCTGAGACCCGAGAATTCTACCCATTGCAATCTCCAAAGATGCGCATTTACTTCATAGTTACTGCGCAGTAAATTCACATTTCGTTACACATTTTTTCTATTTTTTTTTTCCCTCGACAAGGGAGGCAAAGCACTGAATTTCGTCTATCTCTTTCTTCTCTTTTTCTCTTCGGGTTCAGGGGGAAAGAGATAGCCAAACTCCAAAGCAAAATTTGGAAAAGTTTTCTCCATTTCTAATATTTGTTATTCGTGCTTGAAATTACTTTACGAGCGTTGCAAATGCTTTGAGCTTTAAATGTTTTCAAATTGTGCCGGGGAAACACAAAAAGCGTGACGTGACAACCGTGTTTACACCAATTAACCAATGAGAGTGGGCTCATCGTCTCAATCATTTTATAATATGTGTTTCTCTACAGGCCTGATCAAAAAGTACCCAGGAAAGTCATGTAAAGATATTAAAGAAAAGCGAAAAGATGCAACTTCCGGTGTGTACTGGATTAAACCTGGAGGAGGCCAAACAGTACAGGCCTACTGCGACCAAGAAACGGATGGCGGAGGCTGGACTCTAGTGTATAGCTACACATTTACAAACTACAGGTTGTTATTACTCCCTCTATTTATTCATCATCCTGCTTGTTTAATTGTCTGCGTATGTATTTGTTCATTTACTGAACAATCTTTAAATTTTTCAAAAGGGCATTCAGACATGGTTCAAATGCGATTACACCACGTCCCAACTGGCCTATATCCCATCACGTTGGGAATTTCTACCAATCAACTACCCCCCCTGTAAGTGAGACTGACTACAACGCCATGGGATTCGACCTGTGGAAGTCTCTTGGCAGTGAGTTCATGGTGAAATCCAACATCAACCACTGGATCGCTTGTAAAGAAGGAACCGGAAGTCTGGTGGAATTCAAAACTGGAAGTGTTTTATGCCGCATTATAAAGAATGTGGCTTCTAAATGTCATAACTACGTTCCCGACCAACTCATTCTTCATGCTGCTGGAAATCCTGCAGGTTCTACTCTGGGACCGGATCTGATACGATCTCAAAGTAACTCATGGTTAAAGGAGTATTACTATTTCGAGTCTAACACACGCACAGGGAACTGGCCTACCCATGATCCTTGTGGCACGAACAGTCTGAACCACCTCACCAACGTCAACAACCCTCATGGAAACATCTACATCCGGTAATGGCGCGTATCATCTGGGTCTTGTGATGCCTACAAAATCCTGCTAACGTTCTGTAGATGAGCACATTTTAGATCCTTAAGGTTTACCGGTGTAACTGCTATTAGAGAAAACAGGTGTATCTTATAAGAATAAAGAGTGTGAGGCATCAGCGAAATGTACTTACTTTATTTTGCTTGCTAAAGCCATTTCTGATGAAGTCGAGCACCTTTTGAGCATTTTTATTAGAGCTCTGGTTTGCATTTTTAGCACTTTTCCGCACTTTGACTAACATTGGCTCAATATCTTTGACATTTAGAGGTAGTTTTGGGCAAAAATAGTTTACTGGAAAGCCTTTTTCAGCTCTTTTTTGACCTCTTAATACGTGACTATTTTTCCCCCAGTCGTCAAGACATTTCTTGATGCACTTGAGCTACTCCTCAAACAAACCATTGATATCAATCTCCTTTCAGAACCCCTGGATGACGTAACGCAAAATGAAGCGAAAAATTTACTGGTGTTAAAATAAGTATATTAGCACCAATCTTAGCAGAAATATTTTACCTTTTTGCGCACTGCTGATATATTCAAAAATTCTAGGAACTTTAGAACTTCTCTCTAGTAAAAAGTAAATTAAATATATTTCATAGAAGTTGTCCCTCCAAACTGATTCTGAAGTCGTATTATCTTCCAACTGAAATGAACTATAAGAGATTACCGAATAAGATTTTGGTGCGACAATGTCAGTCAAGAATTTTCAAGAGTGAAAAAAATCTTGTATACGTAGTTCTGAGTCTATTTATAGACATCTTGTAATCTTATTTTTCCGCATCTCTGATCTTCTCGTAAGCGTAGGCGACATTCAGAACGGTGATCTCGTCAAACTTTCTCCCTACAATCATCATACCAACTGGTAAGCCATCAGTGAAGCCGACGTTAATGGATAGAGCTGGGTGACCCGTGACATTAGTTGGTGACGTGTTTGGAGCACTCTCAGAAGCCCTTGCCAAATATTCTACAAAATAAATGGCCATAGGTGTCTTAGTATTGATGGTTATTTAATGTGAACTTATTTCCCAACAATAGATTCTAACTTTTTCTCGCTAGTCTTCTCCCTAATTTCATGGGGTTATCCTTATTTCTTTTCCCTTTCAAGGTCTTACTTTTTACAAATTCATAATCAAAAGAATGACACATTCATATGCCAAAATTAGACCTTTTAGAGGAGGCTTTTCCTGCGGGAAAACTGGTGCCTTCTTGGGGATGGTGGGCAGAATCAACACATCGTATTTTTCAAGTGCCGCATCATATGCCTTGCAAAGCTCTCGACCGAGGTTCTGTGCTTTTCCGTACAAGATACCGTAGTAATCCTCGTGCAAATACTTCGCGATCAGCCGAATGAGTTTGCCTCTCTTTGACAGGTCATTCGAGTGACATTTTAGACCTCGTGAAAAGGCTTCCTGCAGAGTGGTGTCGTAATACATCCTTACGGCAGTTCCAGCCCCTTTAAAACAAATCATTTTCATGTGCAACATTCCTTAATGATGATAAATGACTTGACTTAGGGTTGCGTGACTCGAAACGATATGGTATGACGTAGAGTGACCTAAGGTGACATGACATGCAATGACAACACATCAATCACATCTTATTAACTTGACACGACATAACATGTTATGACAGTCTAACGACGTACATAATTTAGCTCCAAGTTACTAGACATGCCATTGGATGGACGCCAAGGTTGAAGTAACCTCTACTGTTTACCATTGCCGAACACAAAGGCTTGGCCGCAATTATAAGAGCATTGTATACAATTTAAAATGTTTGCGTAGAGTTTAAGGGGAAATCCTCATCTAGCTACTGTTATTCTTGATTCGGGATTGTTCAGAACAAATGTTTACCAAAACACCAACCACCCCTTTATTTGAAGGGGATTCCTTCGAACTCTCTGTGAAATCAATTATGACTTCTCACCAGCTCCTTCAAACATCATTCGATCACCTCCAATATGTCGAATGGCCCAAAGATTCGAACACCTGTCGAAACGTGAAGCCAAAGGAAAAAAATTACAATAGAAAAAAAACAAAAAGAAAACAAAAAGAGAGGCAAATCAAAAACAAATTATGACATTCGACGAGTTAACGTGGTGCTTAGACAAACTTTCACAACACAATTATAAGTCTTCTCTAAAAGGTCTAATCTACGTTTAAATAAATCCGAAACGCACATCAAACAATTCTCATTTTCACTCTTAAATGAAGTTGTGAACCGATTAGTGAAGTACGTTTGACAGTGTTTCTAAACATTTATTTCAAGTAGGACGCAATGATGAGAAACTCTATTCTCCTCTCCTTTCCTATGGTGCGTTTTTTAGCATTCCCATGTTCAGTTACCGTCAGAATGCATCGGGACAGACACTTCTTCGACAGTTGCGCCGCCTGCAGTACCCAACTGTTCAGCGGCCTTTCTGACCGTCTTATCAACATCCGCTTCGGAGGTCTTCAATCCAAAGCCTTCTTTCAAGATTCCTATTTTCAAGTTGTGTATTTTTCCTGTGAGCTGACAAAAAATTGCATTGCTTTATAAACAAAAAATTATTACCGAGGTATAATATTTGGATTTTCAAAAACAAACCAGCACTGGCATTAGATTCAATTCAATTTCGATCAACCCCTCCCGTTTCCACCATTAACAGTTTTCAAAGTCGGGGTGTCCCCCCCCCTGGCTTACAGCATGGCACAAGTCAAGATATTCTTTTGCTGTCAACCGTTGACCACGGTGTGTATCCGACCTCTCATCATAACTGAAGCATGTCCCACAACCACGAAGCTCTTAGATTCTCAGCAACCACTTTTTAGAGACTCACTTTTGTTTGATCAACTTAGTTGATAATGCAAATTGACCATCGCAAGGCAATACTAAAGCTGAAGTTTCAAGCGTTAGCTCTTCGTCAGAGCGAATGACGAAGGGCTAACGCTCAAAAATTCAGCTTTAGAATCGCTCTACGTCGTCTAATTCACATTGTCAACTCAAAGTTATCTTATGATACCCCACATCGATACAGCACTAGTTTGTTCGGAAACTTACCCGTTACCATTTGTCGTCTATAAAGTTAGGTCTAATTCTGTATAACCCCTAGTCTCTCTCCATTAAAAATCTTCCTTGTAAAACTAAATAAAAGCTAATTTAGCAAGAAAATGTGAATTAATTGACACAGTCTTATCTGGGGAGAGACATAGAACGTTCATTTAACATATTATTTCTTATAAATGATTCATCGCCAATGAAATTCAAAAGCTGACACACCCCCAAAGTATACTCAGGCACTTTGAGATCTCGTGGCTGTCTAGGGTCCAGTCCTCCGTCATATCCAGCCATAGCCTATTTTAAAATTGAAGAGTCATTATACATTATTAACGATTAAATCCACATTTAAAAACCCAATAGAAGTGATCTCTAAAATAATGCACAGGTAGCAACCAGACAATTAATATACCGTTTACATGAATGAATTTCGCGCTGTTTTCGAAATATTTTCAAACTATTGACTAAAAACGACACCCACTTATCGTGATTGATCTGATAGTCTCATGCTGAACCAAGAAATCAGGTAGAGCGAAAATAAAAACTATGCGATAATTCAAGATTCTTATGCCGTTAGACACCGATTACTTTTATTGGGAAGTCGCAGATTAGATATTTGCGGGAATTCTAACAATTTTTCGTAACTTGTTGTCCTACCTCCAACATTAGAGCTGTATCATACACAGTCCTGGCCATTGGTCCAGTATGATCCAAAGTAAACTCTATCGGCATAATGCCCGTATATGGAACTAATCCGTATGTGGGTTTCAGACCCACAATGCCGCAACACGCAGCGGGGATCCTTATGGAACCTCCTTGGTCTCCACCGGTTGCCATGTCAACTTGACCTCCAGCCACCTTAAAAACGACGAGAAGACAAGAGCGTAATCAAGAAACGTGGCTGCACAAAGCAGCCACATTTAAAACGAAGTTTTGTGTAGGAATAAAAGACGATTCTTATTGAAAGATAATGTGTGCTCGGAACGGAACAAGTCTGAGTCGAAAATAAATGGACATAAAACAAGGCCCCTGATCCGTCTCTCGAAGGTAGCTATGAAGGCTATGTGATTTTTTGAGTGAAAGCAATATGATGGACAGTTTGGAGATCATTTGTTTGCGATAATAAGATTTTGTTGAAGAAGAGGAGAAATTATTTTTCTTGCTTCTTGGTTTTCCTATTTTCCTATGTACTTTCTTACTCACCAAAGCTGCAGAACCTGATGATGACCCTCCACACATTCTCGTCTTATTGTGTGGATTAACCACCGGACCAGTGGCAGCAGTAAAACTGCCTCAGCTACAACACAAATCTTCGCAAACACTTTTCCCCACTATGTGTCCACTGGCATCCAATATCCGAGACACTACAGTAGCATCCACATCCGGGACAAATCCTTCCAGGGTATGAGAACCATTCATCATAGGTACTCCTGCCACACATGTGTTGTCCTTGATAGCCACAGTTTTGCCGCGAAGTTTACCACTTGATACTCCTTTAATGTCACATCACCAATACCTGAAAATGAAATTAGTTTATTACGACATGCGGAAGATAAAGACGTCTAGTGAACAGAGCAACGATGGCACTTGTTGGAAGCAATCACCATAGTTTTGCCGTGAAGTTTGTCACTAGACGCTCCTTTCATGTTACATCGTCAGTACCTCAAAATCAAATTAATTATATTTCCACCTGCACTTGAAAAACAGCTTAAGTGAACAGAGCTACGAAGCCACATGTTTGAAGCGAGGCAAAGCAATTTATGAAACTATCTCACCAAATAACTGCTTCGCTTTAAAGATGTAGCTCAGCAATAGTGCACCCGTCTAGTATCTGGGAGGGGAAGGACATGTTCCAATCCTGTTGGGGCCTGAATCTTGTATGACTTCTTTTCTATGCAATTTCTTCTGTTGCAGTTCAGTTGCGAGGATTATGTCTTCACTTAATAACCTTGGAAAGTCCAGATTCAAATTCATAAGTTTAGAATCAACAATGTGAATTTGTCAGTAAATACCCGCCGCAGCAGAGTTTGATTGAAAAGTTACGAGCAAACGCTAATAGTATATCATAGTGGGGTGTCTGTCATAAATTAGGGTTTCTGCTGAATTAATACGTTTCTCTGACATTTTACTTACCAAGCATTGTAAGGGTTGTCTTCTGGTGATGGTACGTATCAGCCAGGGTACTAGAAATTGCCTCTGACAAAATAATTATACTAATTAAATTGATGAACTCAGATAACAATTTACATTAAATTATTACCAGTAACTTATCACCAAGATTCCTACCTCGATAAGCCATCAGCTCAATCTCTTCCATTTCGAAGCCCAGGCTATTTGCGATCTCAGAAAGACGCGCGAAGGTTGGTACAGAGACCGCGGGCTCTTTATAAAGCTTCTCTAAAAGCAGTAGAGAAAAGTAAATCATCAGTTACTATATGATGTAAGACTTGCACAAATGTTCACTATCTAAAGCAACTAGAACTAACCAAAATGTATCAACAAAGTACTTTGCCGAGGTTCAACTCTATTTATAAGTAGCGCCTACGTAGCTATCATGAGCAACGTTACTGGAAAAACACAAATAAGAACTTCATCTGGAAGAACTGAAGAGATTGATAAGGATCACGGTCAAATTTAACGAATAATTTTTGACCCTCTCTTCTCTGGCTGGAGTTTAAGATATTGTTTGTTTATTTGTTTGTTTATCTCAACTGCGCACGCCCTCATTGGCTATTTTGGTGTCATATGACATTTTTCAGTGAAAAATTTTAATAGCTATTTCTTAGTGTATAAGACAAAGGACGCGTTACAATATAGAACACCACCTCATAACCTATTGTTCTCTTGTTTTCTTCGCTCTTTTGTCTATTTGCTCTCTATTGTTTCATGTCAACTCTGTCATCTACAAACCTCTCACAGCACTGCTGTGAAAATTTGTCACTACGAATTAGCTTAGTACTTGTTTTTCACCGAGTCTTGCAACTTCAAAGGGCAAACAATATTCAGTTTGGGGAATGACCCTTCGTTTCTGTTGCTTTAGTCTCACGTGGTATTCAACAGTGGAATCGAACTCAACCAAATTCGAAAACGTATCATTTTTCCTCAACTCAATTAATCATAGTTAAATTAATATTGTTTTCGAAATTGTTTGCCTCGTCGGAGTTTAACTTTTGATCATTTTCAACCAGAAAAGCAAAAAACAAAGTCTGACTCTAGAGAGATAAGCAGCTTGGAAGACTAAACTCTTAATAGAAAAGAGAGAAAGAAAATACTTTATCGTGTTCCTTACTACCTTTTCTTGAGTAATTCAATATTCAATAGTGAAACAGATGCTGTGATAAAAAAAACTATCCGCCCTTACTTTTTCCCGTCGGAACGCTATGAAAACACAAGCCATTGCTGCTTCTCACAAAATTTCTCAGACGAACTCCAAGGATTTCTGTTTCATTCATTGTGATGTCATGTTGCCATGAAAATAATTGCTTCGAATTCATGTTGGGCATGCTCGGTGCACAGCATTAATTGAGGCCAGATGGAATAATTTGAATTTCTCCATAACAGTTGAAGTAGAAGTAGCTATATGAGGAAAACAGTTGCATTTGGGAAACAAAAAATGTCAAAATCTTTTCATTTCCTCTCTCTTGCCCTTCTGTGTCTTAGTTATGGCTTTAAAGTCGATTCTAACAGTTTAGGTAATCGTAGTTTTTGTGTTTTCTTCCTATTTATTTCTAAAGGAAGGGGACACTTTCCTGAAAAAAGGCGTGCATTAGTACCCCCTCCCTATGCGACGGCCAAACTACCTTAGTTGAAAACTGTGGTAACGAACTAACCAATCGCAGCTTTGAGTTCACCGCACAAAGGTGAGAGTCCGCATGCAAAGTTTGTTTTAATTCCTTGTCTATTTTTAGGTTACTTGTCTTCCATTTGATTTGATTGAATTGAGTTTTAGCAGACTAGCAAAGAGATGTTAAACCTTTGACATCTTTTTTGGACACTAAAGGCTATTTGCAATGTTCATAAAAATGCTGGAAATATTCAGAAACGCTACATTACTTTTAACATTGCTAGGGGAGGGGAAAGGGGTCACTTGTGACAATAATTTTAAAATAGAAGTCAAATAAATGAAAGTGTCCTAAAAACGTTTGACCAGGTTTCCAATACGCACCACAAAATTAAAACGCGCTCGTGTTTAGTCCTTTGGTATAAAACACGATTAACTACAGCAAGAAAATCAGTTTAAGGTTTTATTTGCTTAGAAATAACATCGTTACGTTTGCATGATAATTTTTAAATCTTCTTACACTGTTAAGTCCGCCATGAAGAAGCCTTGCTGGGTTTGGTGATATGACTCTTTTTCCTGCTCCTGAAAAGGTAAAGTCTGGTTATTTCAACTTTCATCATCCAGCGGTTATGATATTTAGAGATTCCATCGAAATGTGCATTATTTTGTTTGGTAAAGGAAAAGGATGAAGAAGAAAGGACTTCCATACATTTTTTTTCGGTATCTCCTACTCAAGTTTTCCCACGATTTGTCAAGTCTGTTCGGTGATGTCACACAATTGTTTGGTGTGGTTTTGGCAAGACGACCAACTGTAAGGACTGGACATTCAACTGAAAAAAGGAGGGAATCAAATCCATATGATTGTACAAGCTCCTAAAGGCTGAATTTTGAACCAAATTTATTTTACTCAGAGGTAAGGTAAAGCTTTGGAAAAAAAAATACAATTTTGTCAATTAGATTCCTTATTTCAAGTACAAATACAAAAAACATAAGCTAAACGAGAGATATTATAGTACTCAGACGAAGGCTTATTTTTGGTCCGGCTGTACTTAGATGAAAAAGGCCAGTGAGCTAGTGTCCGCTGGTGCGAGTAAAACAGGTTGATCTAAAGTTGCGATTTAACATGTATAAAAATTGGCAATCGTCCGTTACGGCAATTGTGCAAGCCATGGATATAATGAGGTTATAGGGGAGCTAAAAAATTCTGTCAAAAGCTTTTCAGTGGAGCAATGTTAAATTCCCTTCCGAGAGAAATCCGGGAATGCTTTAATTTGGCTTTGCTGCATTTTACTCTACGGTCAGTTTAGAAAACTCGTACCACTAGGCAAACAGTTGTAGTGACAAGGAAAAAATATTACGATGACCTTACTCTGGCGCTTTTTAAAGCTCAATGTTGGTTGCATGTAAAAGGGAAGGAACTTTGACGGTTGACGATTGAAATTTAGGGCTTTTGACGGCTGATAATTGTGAGGAAGAAATAGATAAAGACTCACTTGATATTGATTCCATAGTTTTTGATACGAACTATCTTTTTCAGAGGTGATTTTGGTCTTTCAATAATCGCAGTTAAATGAAATGAAAACTTAAAACGCACTGCAAAACCATAAGCAATATCTACGTAGCTGTCAACTCCTTTCCCAATTTGAGTTCTCTGGTTTAGTAATTGCAAACTTTGAAAATATTGTTAGAGGGACTTTCTCAAAATTTTTGTCCGTGTCTTTATAGGAATTTTTAATTTTCCATACAATACTTTTTGGTGTGTATAGCTCGACCTCAAATGAGCTCCAGCCAAAGTTGTCGTAGAAATCAATACCATGTCCTCTCAAATTTACAATGATGATGTTTTTGGTTTCCTTTCAATCGATTGATTCCTACTCTGCTTTACACCACAAGTGTGTGTGGTTTCAGAACTTTCCGGACATGCTCTCAACTTGCAACTTGTGATTGCGGGTGTATGGTGTATGCAGCATGGCGTGGTCACAACGTGAACAAGTTATCCATTGAGAATCTGTTTGAATTTTTTTAACCTACTAGAAGTATATTTGGATAGAAGCTGATTGCAATATTCGTTTTGACGCCGTTTAGTGATTGAAAAATATCGAAGTTAGTGAAAATGACCATAAAAATTAGTTTTGATTTGGAAACGTGGAAACGGATTTACCAGTTCAATGATTTTTTCGAGATATAGACTATCCGCGACAAGCAGCTCTTAATTGTAGGATTTGAAGGACCGTGATATATTTTGACAGCAAATATCGCGCAGCTCTTTTTTTTTTTGACGGTTTACGGTAAAACATTGCCCTTTAACAGTTGTCAAGTTAAGGTTGTTTGAACGCCAACCGCTCACCACATTGATGCTCTCGATGTAGTATGCTGTGAACATTTGGATTTCAGTTTGTAGGCATCATTATCAGAAATTGCCGACAAAATGGCGGACAGGAATTCTATCGGCGCTTTAAAGATGGCTGCCCATATAATGGTAAAATGTACGGGGCACTACTTGCCGACCTCTCGATGGAAAGAACATTTACTGCAGTATTCATAACAGTCATTTTAAAATAAATTTGAGCATCACACGGTCTGCCAACTCCACGTTTACAGAGGTCATAAAACAAACTCTATAATTTCCTCACAAACGGGATGAATTGCTTACCCCCTCGACCGTCCTGTAGACTTTGTTCACGTCGGTTCCCTGGAGCCGACCTCGAAAAACATTGCCAGATGTTTACACTTTCCAAGACTAAAAAAAATTCCGGTTGTATAAGCTTTCCGCTGTTCTGCCAAATTTACTTGAAAAGAGCATAAATTCAAGATTACTGTCTTTATCCAAAGTGAACGGAAACCACCATTTCTGCTTGGAAATCGTCCCCATAAACAAGGCTTTCTCTTCGATTTCAATGACTTCAGCCGCCATTTTGGCTGATAACCTAACCTTTTTATTGGAAGAACGCTGGATAGCTGTAACGTGGACTCCTTATTTACAATCAGGTGTTTCCTTAACGAAAAATGCCTTCTTTCCCTTGTGAGCGTGAAAAGTTAACGATCGACCGAAAATTAAATGTCCTTAATCCTCCGCTTTCTTAGGTAAGACAGCAAAATGTTGATCGCTTTTCAATAGCTTTAGCTGTGCAGATTCCTTACCCTTTGTAACAGCTACGGTATAACATAGTCAGTCACAAAACCGAAGCTGATCAAGGTACTTCTGCAGATTGCCTTGATCTGTTGAATAGCTCGATCCCAAACAAATGGTTCCAGATTAGCAGGGAGACAGGATTTCGGATCCAGGGAAGACTCCGACGCGAGGCAAGCTCAGTTGCCTCAAAATATAAGAGAGCAACTGGTAGTAGGAGAAAGCAAGAGCTCAATAACTGTTTTTACACTGAGCATTGTAGTTACTGAGTTAGTGTCTGTTGGAAAGATGGATGACTATTTACAAACAGCTAATTTAGCTTTAGAGGAGTGACATAAGAAGTGTAGAGA